TGCCTCCCCTTCCTATTACGTGTACATGCCTAGCTTGTCCCCTCCTATTGCGTGTATGCCTATGGTACAATCCCTTCCTGTTATGATGTAATCACGGGGGCTTGCACTTGGACATAGCTGTGATTGGAAATATGTTCTCGCTCTCTGCGCAGACCTGGCTGCTGAGATAATGGCTGTCCCAGAGGTGAGCGCTTGCATGCTTTATCTTGTATGATGTCTCTTTAATTTTACCCCTCAATTACACACCCCCCTTGGACCCATTCGATTGTGGGGGCAGGTACCCCCCAACATAATAAATAAATAAAATAGGCAGAACATGTGCTCTGCAGGTTGTTCTTTTCCTTTAACAATATAGCTTTCTCTTCTTGGTGTATCAGAGCATAAAACAGCTCTCCTAGTGTTTAACAGCTACATGGTATTCCAGTGTACACACTGTTTCCCAGTTGAACATTAGATTAGTTCTAGTTCTTCTCTTAATATAACAACAATGTTAATAAATAACCATGTAACTAGCTCATTTAGAAATCCATGAAAATACTTAAGGACAAAATTTTAGGATGCAATTGTTGGATCAAAAGATATGACCAATCATTATTTTGCTAAGTATTTTATTTTGGTTGGTCTGTATTTCACTAATTTTCTCTAAAATGAGCTTGTGACAGTGTATTAAGTATACGAAACACCAAATAAGATAATAGGATAGCTGAGTCCCAGTCCTGCAGCTTACCAGGACTTTGGTTGTCATTTAAAATGAGCGCCTTCATTTTCTCAAAGATATAATCGTTCTACCTAACTTACAAGGTAGTCACTTGCTCCTCCATCTTTCAAGACAATGCTAGATATATTCTTAGTTCTCATCAGCAACACAAGAAGTAACCAGGCAATACATTCTAAACGGCAAGCCTATCACTGTAGTGTTCTGCACTATGAAGGGCAGATGCAGACTTACTGGGTCTTTGGAGACAAAAACTGGCAGACAAACCAAAGGAGCCTTCATCTCATAGAAACGCAACCATTCCGCCACCTCCTCATCGGAGGTCAATGGGCAAGGCGAAAATTCTGCAGGCTATCACAAAAACATAAGTAAACATAGTGAGTCCATTCTAATTAATGCACAGCCCCAATGTAACAGCAGAACTGCCCCCACAGGGTTTCCAAAGCTACAGTCTCCACGGGCAGAATGCTCCTCAGAGGCAAGGATCAGGTTCCTCTCATGTTCTTTGGACATGTTTCCAGGAGAGACCAATCCCTGAAGAAGGACGTCAGGCGTGGTCAGGTAGAAGGCAGTGAAAAACAGGAAGGGCCCTGACCAGGTGGGCTGACACAGCGGCAGCAACAATGGGCTCAGGCGTAAGAACAATTGTGAGGCTGGCACAGCACCGGGCAGTGTTTCCTTCAGTTGTGCACACTTGCGATGAGTCGGAGCTGGCCTGACAGCAGCGAACAACCACAACAGCAGTATTTACGGAAGCAGACTGCCACGCCTTTCGCCTGTGGAGCAGCTGGTAGGTTCAAGCCTTGGGCTTGTCAGTTATGTACAGAGTGCTTACCCACTGTGCAGACCAGTTATGTATAACTGAGGGTTAAAACTTAAAATATATATGCAGTTTCATTAAGTTATAAAAAGAAGCTTCGAATATTCTAGGACCCATTTTTGGTATCCAGTTATATACTTTCATTTGAAAAGAATACTCAATGTGTGTAAGCGAAAACTGGTGAAAGAATAAGGTCATTTCATATGTGAACAGGCTTCTACAATTCATGGGAAAATCCCGTTACCTTTTAACCCTATTTTACCCTTAAGTGTTTCGAAATCCTCCTATATTCCCATTTTTCATTCCTTAATGGTTTTCTCATGGAAGAAAAATGAGGCTTTCTACTCCCATAAACACAGCCTCAGAACCTCCCGGGAAAGTTCTGCTCTGTCCTGAAGGGCTGCTATTGGTCAGCGTCAGCTCGATGGTGGTGAGTTAGTTTGCTTTTTCTTAAGCTAGTTTTCTCGGAGCCCTAGCAGCACAGTGAATGTCAAGTTGGCTGCTTCTGGCAAGTCACTCTCAGGGAGAACGCAGGGGCAGTTCTACTCTGTCTTATGGGGTCACTGAAAGGATTAACTCGATGACAGTAAGTTTTGATCCATTTTCTTGTGAATATGTTGCCATCCCAATAAGTAGTACCATTACTCCTACCAGAATGTGCAGAAAATAATCAAAGCATTGATAAGCGATAGAAGAACTTAACTCTGGTGAGGTAGAGGATCAGCAGCCTCGTGGCTGTAACAACAGGTTCAAACATCAACATTTGTGAGTATGCTGCAGGGCATGGCAATGTTTTCTTTCCTTGAACATGGCACCAAGAGTCAGAACCGACTCAATGGCGCCTAACGACAACAGTGTGTGCTGAGTTTGGGATTCTGGCAATGAAAATAAAGTTCGAATAGAGTAACGTGAAAACAGAATTCTAGTTAGACATTATCTCACTCTGTGATTTACCGCATTGTTTGTCACCTCTATTAAAAGTAATCTACAAAAAAATTAAATAAAATAAAAGTGATCTACATACAGCAAAGGGATTTTACTCAGGGTATCTTTAAAGATAGACTTCTCAATCTACACTGAAAACAAAACCCCTGAATTGTTCAATGGGGGTACACACCTCCCAACAGATGCATACCCTTACCATAATGTGAGCCTTCACTTGACCCTTCTCAACCAGGAAAGCGCCTCCCATCCCGACAGGCTTTTCTCCATAGTGGTTTTCCAGAGTCTGCCTCATGCAAGTCACAAAGTTAAGTTTGCCTGTTCTTCTTTTGGCTTTCACCTCAATGACCTGCAGGGAACAACAACATACCTTATCACCACTGTGGAAACAGCAACGCCTTAATGCTGTCAGGCAAATAGTCACTGCTTGTCTGTTTAGAGCACCCTCAACAGAGTTGAGGCGCCTCAAGTCCTCTGTGAGAGTCGATCTGTCAGATATATGTCAGTCATGTGTAACACTTCAGGCCTCACTCGTGCTTTCCTGGGGAAAGTTCTGGCTAAATCCTGCATTTAACTTTAGAGACACGTCCTATGTGTCAAAAGGTGAAAAGAGGTTTAGAATCCCCTGGCTTCCGGCATGAACTGTTGGTAATGGGGAATTACTACAATGCTTACATTTTCTAACTTCCCTCAATATTCTGACTGAGCCTGTGTTACTCCTCTTAGGTTATTTAGCCTTGACCACGGAACGGGGTGGGGGTGGGGGTGTCCTGTGACCCAGTCTGGCAGCTATCTGTTGGCTGCACGCCGTAAGGTCAGCGGTTGGAAATCACCAGCCTCGCTGCGGGAGAGAGATCAGGCTTTGTATTGCCGTCAAGACTTAGTTTTGGAGGAGCTGATCCCAAGGGCTCAAGCAGAAAGCAAATGTTCTGAAAATGATGATGGCAACATATATACACGTGTGCTTGATACCATGGATTTATGGATTGTTATAAGATCTGGAAGAGCCCCCAATAAAGTGATTAATTTAAAAAGAAAAAGCGTTACAGTTTTGGACACACAAAAGGCAGTCCTCCCTGTCCTATAGTCACTATGAGTTACAGTGGACGCAAGGGCAATGCGATGAGCCCTGGAGGTGCTGTTGGGCATTGTGCTGATCGCAGCGCAAACCCACCAGCCAGTCTGTGGAGAGATGAAGGGGCTCTCTGCTCTTGTTCCTTGAGATTTAGCTTGGGAACTTATAGCTGTCTAGGGTGGCAATGAGTCACATCATTGGACGGCAATGTGCTAGGTTGGTACTTCATCCTCAAAGAGCTGAAGTGATGCTCTCTCTTAAGACATCTAAACGTCTTCCCTGCTCACACTTAAAGACATCTTTTTACACAGTAACATGAAGTAAATACAAAAGCATTAACTCATCTTACCTTCTTCTTGCGGAAAATGTCCCACCACCCTCTCTAGGGCAACAGACGTGTAATCAGTTATTTCCCGTCCTCCCTGCTGTGGAGGTGATTCCACCTCGCAGAGCCCTGTCAGACAGACTAGAACGGCTCCACACGCGGCCAACACGGCACCTTGCGGGAAGCAGCTGCGTCGTCTGTCTCCACAGAGCAGCTGCTGCGTTGGTGGCCTGTTGGTCAGCAGTCCAGTGCTTAACCCGCTGTGCCACTAGGTCATCTTGGAAAGAGCAACCACTAGTTTTTCTACCTACATGTAGGCAATATGAAGCAACTAACTCATCCTGCAAATTAGTATCCTGTTAACTCTCTTTTTAGTTACTCAGAAAAAAACCAAGTTGCTCTCTGAGTATTATTCTTAACTTTAGTTTTAAATGAGACTTACTGCAGAACTTGGGATCCTTCACTACTGGGTTATTTAGGGAATTTTGTAAATAACTTGATGTTTTGTTTGTTTACAAAAGCCATGTTTGAGACAATAAAATGTTTAAAATGTCAGCTATTTGTGGATAGTTAGTGAATAATGTATTGTTATGGACAATCACCTTGCCAGGTTGTCCCTCACTGGCAAAAAGATTGGCCAATAAAGCACATCCAAAATCATGGTATTTCTCACTGTACTTCTGTAGCACGCAGCCTCCATCTGCAGGGCTAACACGGGCAAAGTAACTTCCATTCACAGGAGCCCTGTGTTCACTTTCTGTTTGAATCACTGGCATAAACTGAAAAGAAAAGTAAATAAAGCAATTAGTCAACCCTGCTGTTAGATGCTGGTAAGTCATTTCTGACTCCCAGTGACTCTATGCACATCAGAATGAAATGCTGCCCAGACCCGGGCCACCCTCACAATGGTTCCTAGGTGTGAGACCCCCACTGCAGCCACCAAGCCAAGCCATCGGGGCCAGGGGCTTCTTTTTCACTTCCTCTCTACTTCACCAACATTATGTCCTTTTTCAGGGACTGGTCCCTCCTGATAACATGTCCAAAGTAGGTGAGAAAAACTTTTGCCAAGCTTGTTTCTAAGGAGCATTCTGGCTGTACTACTTCCAAGACAGATTTGTTTGTCCTTTCGCACGGTCCCTTCAATGTTCTTCACCAGCACCAGAACTCAAACGCATCCATTCTCCTCTAGTCTTCCTTAGTCTCTGCACAACTTCCACACGCATTTGAGGCAACTGGAAACACCATGGCTTGGGTCAGGTGCACCTGCACCCTCACAGTAAAATCCTTGCTCTTTAACACTTTACAGCGGTCTTGTTCAGCAGATGTACCCAATGCCAGGTGTCCTTTTATCTCTCGACCACTGCTACCGGGAGCAATGATTGGGACTCCAAGCAAGATGCTTATCATGATGGTGCCTATTGGTCCAGTTGTGAGGATTTTAGTTTAAACCATACCAAAGGCTAAAATCTTTGACCTTTTCCAGCAAGTGCTTAAGTCCTTCTCATTTTCAGCACGTTACTGATGCACTTACTCTATGAAGATACTCTCTTTAGAATATCTACTAGGATAAAACGTGACAAAACTTTCATCCCAGAATTTAAAGAATTTTACTTCCGGACTCAATCAAAACAGGAAATATTCTAAAGTGTTTGTAGTAGTCCTTAGTGTTCTCTAACATTTGTAGCATTTCCTTCAAAATGTTTGACTTTAACTTTTAAACTTTTTCCGTGAGCAAAAGGCAAACGATGTTGCTTCTGCAGAAGCTGTGTGATCACTCACTATTTGTCACACCTGAGGGGGCTGTGATGTTTATGGCTCATTAAATGTCAAAAAACACTGGTGTGATGTTTTTACTTTGAAAATGGACGGATGTACCTATGGCAAATAATCAACACATTAAAAACCCATTTTCTTATCCAAAGCTGCCCTCCACCAAAGCAAAATATCATTGAGGAGCTAGGAATTCTGTGATGTGTAAGCATAAAAGTGTTTTACAATCCAGGGTCCTTGGCAGACCATGATGGGAAGCTAGACAGGTCTCATGCTGCCCCCC